CTTTCCCTTCCTGCTCTGAGATAAAGTGCCTGAAAGCAGCTTTCAAGTTCTAGTGGGAGAAATAAAAACAAAGCTGGGCTGTCACACTTTACCATACAAATGGGCATTTTCTTACCATATACTTACAAAGTATTTAGAATTCAACATAACAGCCTTCTATATACAGTAGGCTAACAATTGTTAGTTGCACTAAAATATCATAGTAATTACCAGCATAAAGTAAAATTAGTATTTAGCACCTGAAATGCCAAACCAACATTTGCAGGAATCATTTCTCTACATATAAAAATGGAAAACATATTAGAAAATCTTACAATAAAACAGGCAGGTGATTTTAGGGTTTTAAAGCAAACAACAACAACAACAACACACAGAAACAACAACACACAAAAACCCTCCAAACAACCACAAAAGACAAAAATCAGGATATGAACATGCTGCACAACTCCCTACCTGACAATAGGATGAAAAGCTGAATATCTAAATATGATATAAAATACAAGTGTGTGACATTCAAAACACAATTGAAAAAAGTAGTAAAGTTATACCAGGACACAGAATGATTTATTTTCAACTATTAAACATATAAACAAAACTAAGAGTAAGAAAATCAGAGACAAATAATATAGCAAAGGGTATTTCTCTCCAACACAATTGGCCATGATTCTCCAAAATGTACGGTCAACAGAGAAAAAAACAGAAGGAAAGAATGTATAGAGTTATTTTAAAGGATGATCATATTTTAATTTTGTTTTGAAGAGTTTACCACTTCCTTTTCATGGTTCAGAGTATATTTTAAGACTAAATTTGTGTAAATAATATTCCTTGGGGATTAAAAGTAGGGGAAACAAAACCCAACCAAAAGCAGAAATAAAACTATGTGTGGGGGGAGGAGATACAAATTACATTCACTTTTCCAAATAAGTTCGACCCATGAAGAATGGGCTTTACCTCACCGTTTTGGGTCAGATTTGAAATAAAAGAACTGTGATTCATAAAGGTAAACAATAGTGAAAGCTGTTCTTATAAGGGAAACAAACCAACCAACAGACAACAACAAAAGCCAGAATAGAACCCCAGAATCCTGTTTGGAGGGAGTTTTGTGGGCAATGCCAAAAGCCTCACTTGTCACATATTTCTCACTAGACAACTTACAAGTGATTTAGAACAGCGGTCGCCAACCAGTGGTCCGTGAGGTCCGAAAGGTTGGGACCGCTGATTTAGGTAGAAAACATAAGACTCAGAATGTGAAGCTTGGATTTGAATAGTAGAAGATAAAATTGGAGTGGTATTTACAAAGGAGAGGCAGACACGTGCATAGCACCAGATTTTTCAAGTAAGCAAGTTCAGCCCCAAACTAACTGAACTAAAATTTTACATTTTAAACTCTTCCTGTTATTTTCCAGAGTGGAAGAAAGCTGTGAAATGTTGCAGCTTCGTGATATTCACTAACAGTGTGAACTCAAAAGGTGGTTTTCTGTAGCTGAGCTGATTCTAAGTCTCAGGACTTCATGTTATCCCCAGTCCAAATGTCCTGGGCTCTACTGGCTTTATACACATAAATTGGGACCACCCATTTTTCTCTTTGAAATTGGCTAGAGAATTCCTTCCTTAATGACAATGTATGCAAACATACACACATATTGAAAATCTATAAATAATTCTAACAGCCAAAGAATACTTTTGATCAGAATTACCCAAAGAAAGTAAAATTAGAAATGATGAGATTAAAAATATATTTTAGAGTCTACTCATGATGCTTAAATATTCAATTTATTGTCTGATTTCTGGACTTCACATTCCATAAACTTCAGATTCTGAAGGCTTATTGAAAAAGCCAATTTCCTCAATATGGGAAATTCTCTCTGACTTTACTTTTAGAGAGTTATTACTTTTCTACTTTTGAAAAAAAAATTGAATATTTATATCTGTATATATTATTAACCAAAAACTCCAGTAGGCCATATTCCCGATAAATACAGTACAATTTGCATCATACCCAATATTTTAGACATTAAGGTTAAAATCTGGAAGAGAGTATATTGTCTGACATATTTCCCAACATAAATATTTATGTAGATATTAAAATTTAAACTGATATTTGGCTTTGTAAGCTATTTCCCCTGTGGACTGTATGATCTATTAGCAATAGAGAAATTTTGGAATTGTGGTATGCTGACCCTGATTTTGCAGAAACAGACTTGGAACCTCTGGGGCTCTCCTTCCACAAGGCTCAATGAGTCAGTCTGGGCAGTGCACACCCTTGTCATGACTCACTCACTGCAGTTAGGCGTAGGAGTACTAACATGCAATTCCAGGACAACACAGACACTAGCACTGACATTGTTTTAATCATTCCCCCAAGTAATAAAAAAAATATAGATAGATATACTTATAGAGATCTGCAGCTGTACTAGTTACTCCAAATAGCAGACAAGGAAAATAAGCACTTAATTGCTTGCTTTATAAGTTTCAGTTCATTTTAAGCTTGCTATATTAAGTTTAAAAATTAAAAAAATATCAACTTACTATAAACAATTTAAAATATGTATAATACAACTTCATGGTCAAAACATTTGACTAGTCTATGAAAACAGGAGATACTACATTAGTTCAAGTTTCATACATGAGTTTTCAAGCTGTCTCTTACAAGAGAAACCATGAAAAGGTTGTTTTATTTTATGGGAACTAGTTTTGTTCAGGGATTTCCCCATCACAAAACTGCCTGACTGTTACAGGGAAAGTGAAGGAAGAAAAGGAAAGGGGAAACAAAGTGGCTCTCTCCCTATTGGTCACTATTCTCCTTAAAATATTCTGTACATGAGCCATATGGACATTCTGAACCATTTACAAATTCATTTTCAAAAATTGAAGAAAAAAAGTTTAGAGTCTAAAAGTGTTATTTTATACAGACTATACAATACATATTGAAAGCGCGTGTGCGTACACACGCGCTTGCGCGCACACACACATACACACACACACACACACATCTTAAAGATAAGGTTCTCCAAAGGTTTTTCGACATTCCATCACTCCTGTACTTGGCGGTCTATCACAGTTGTGTGTATTCTTGACTTGACTAGGTGTGAGACGATCGTATGCCATCTTGTATTCTTTATCAAATACATCTGAAAAAATTCACAAGAAACAAAGGCATAAAGAAATTTATATTTGATTTTGATAACAACCAAGTTTTGTAATACTACAGAACTGCAAAATTAAAGGCCAAGAAGGAATCTTGAGGTCTTTTCTGACAACTAAAGGACCACAGAATTTCAGAACTGG